GAGTATCCAGCCACAGCTCTGTACATAAAACTATGATTCTTCACCAATGGTAACTGTGCTTGCCAGATAAACAATTGACCACTTTTAACTATGGTTGCCAGGTATGCAAATTTTCGCATGGTGTTGTTTGCTTGCTGTAAACAACTCACTACGGCTGGAAACCATTCAATACACGTGAAATTTAATAGATATTTTTTCCTTTGCCATTCTGTGAAATTTTTCCACGTTTTTTCTTCGCCCAAAGCACGTCTTGCGTCGGCTGGTAGCTCGCCTTTCAAACTTGATTTGTCTTAAAAAAATATTAAAACGAAAAACCATATACGTAATGTTTTTTTTTTTTTCTGGCGCTTATTAAAAAGTCAATTTTTCCAACAACGAAAAAGGAACTGGTTTTGGAAAACATGGATATGTCTTCTGGTTTGTGCCATTTTGGAAAAGATCTGGAACATGCATGACTGCGGGAAACAATGTTTATATGACAAAGTTTTGTGGTTTGTGCCCCTTTATTGTAAACATGGTTAGGAAACAATGTTTCTTCGTTTGTCCACCTTTAGAAAACATGCCTAGGAATGGTTTGTCCACCACAGGAAAACATGGATAAGAGACAATGTTTCCTGGTTTGTCCACCTTTGGAAAACATGGATAGGAAACAATGTTTCTTAGTTCTTGGTTTGTCTACCTTTGGAAAACCTGGCTAGACGGTAGCGTAGCCAGCCCGACGATTTAGTCCCGATATGCAAATATTTTCGTGTTCATTGATAATTTTGAATTTGCATAGCGGACTAAATTGTCGGGCTGGCTACGTCACTGCTGCTAGGAGACAATGTTTCCTACTGTAGTTTGTCTCCCTTTGGAAAACATGGCTAGCCGGAAAACAATGTTTCCTGGTTTGTTCACCATTGGAAAACATGGCTACGAAACAATGTTTCTTGGCTTGTCCGCGTTTGGAAAACATGGCTTAGAAACAACATTTCCTTGTAGTTGTCCACCTTTGGAAATCATGGTTAGGAAACCATGTTTCCTGGTTTGTCCACCATTGGAAAACATGGCTAGGAAACAATGTTTCCTGGTTTGCCCAGCTTTGAAAAACATGGCTGGGAAACAACGTTTCTTGGTTTGACTACTTTTGGGAAACATAGCAAGGAAACAAGGCCGGTTTCTTGGTTTGTCCACCATTGGAAAACATTGCTAAAAAACAATGTTTCCTGGTTTGTCCACCTTTATGGAAAATATGGCTAGGAAACAATGTTTCCTGGTTTGCACACCTTTAGAAATCATGGATAGGAAATAATGCTTCCTGGTTTGTTCAGCTTTGGAAAACATGGCTAGGAAACGATGTTTCCTGTTTGCCACCTTTATGGAAAACATTCATAGTTAGCGAAACAATGTTTTCTGGTTTGCCCACATTTGGGAAACATGTATAGGAAACAATCTTTCCTGGTTTTTCGACGTTCGAGAATTATGGCTAGAAAACAATGTTTCCTTGTGTAACATGGCAGTGTTATACCATGTTATTTAATATATTCAATACTATATTCAATACTATATATTCAGTATACTGTTATAATTATAAGAGGAAGACCTTAGGCAACCTTCCTCGCATGAATAAGCAAATAATATTTAGAGAGATTAAAGAACCACGGGAAACGCCTAGTACCACAAACCACGCAAACAGGACATAGTTTTGTGGTTGATAAACACTGCTAGAACTTGCTTTGACAAACATATTGCGTAGAGGAAATTAGTCATAGTTACAGATTTCTTCCTCTAAAATTTATTATAAAAACTGAGCACAACCTGAGAGTCGGGAGAGAGCGAAGAGTGAAGTGAGAAGAGCCATTTAGGCTAAAATACTTCATAAGCCAACAAAGGCTGAAGTATATAATTAAAAGGCTAGATAATTAAGCCTCGTCAAGTAAACTGAAGAACATTGGAATATTTTGGAATAATTATTATTAAAGAAGACGGAATACAAAGTATAAAGAATAAAGATTCAAAGTTGTGCTC